TAATAAACACCCTTCCAAGAGGAGCTGCTATTGGGCTGTAGGCTGAATGTGGCCATTCCAATTCTAAACTGGTTTTGCCATAAACACAAAAGCACAAAAGCTGAAGGAGAGGGAGAAGGCCCTGGAAGCAAACTCACAAATGGGACACACTTTCCTTGATTCCTCAAGAAATTTTATACCGTTGACTGGGGTCTTTTTCATTTATATTTTGATGGTTTCTTATCTTAGGTTTTAAAAGGAAATCTGCTGAATGTCTAAAATGCCTTTTGGCAGTCAGGCCTTTTGTTGCTGATCTCTGTCTTAAAAATAGTTTAACTTATCAAGAAGCTTTGGTGTAGATCTGGTGTAGTGGGTTGGTTCATTTGGTTTTTAAATGCTTTCTTTTGGATCACTTTTAATCATCACTTACATTGCACATGGCCATTTATGCATTGACAGGTTGATGGGGACTTTAATGTACATAAAACTTTCTCTGTCAGGACTTATGCCTCTCTGTCAGATTTTATCCTGCAGTAGAGAGGGTTCATATACAGTTGCTGACAGATAAAATAAGCTCCTCCAGCTGCAGCTCTGCCTCCCACAGATTTTTTTTTCTGCTCTGGTTCTGTGTCCCCAGCTAAGTGTTGAAAAAGCACAGGGCTGTGCTGGGACAGACAAGCAGGAGCACGGCACCAGACCTGCAAGAGGGACAATTACTTCGTCACATCAAGGCCTGTAGTGCAACACTAAATGTTTGACATCTTTCTTTAGCCTTAGATGCAGGAGACAGGTAAGTAAACCCTTCTATTCTAAAGAAAAGTGAATTTCCAGCCTGGATTTCTGCAGAGAAAACCTAAAAGGCAAGAGTTATCTTTGAAAAAAGATGCAAAGTCATGAATCACATAAAAACTGAAAAATATCATTAATTTAAATCTGTCCCATGATTTTAAGGACCTGAATCCTGAATTTGAAACTCATGGGTTTCAATATGAGAACCTGTTTTCTGTTGTGTGGTTCAGAAGGCAAAGCCCTAAGGTTTCTGACAAGCCTGGTGCAATCATCTAACACATGAGGTATGCAGATATTATAGCTGATATGAAAAGATGCCCAGCATCTGTAATTCACACAGAAGCCAATGGAAACTGCAAACACTCAGCTCTGAAGGATCAGCCCTTTAATCATTAATGTTTCCAGATCTATAAAAAAATGTTTCCTAAGACACTTTATTTCTGCAAGAAATTCCCTGTTGGCAAGAGACTTTTCATAGCTCCTTTAAGACCTATAAGAAATTGTGGAAGAAATAAAGAGGGGTTTTGCTTATGGAAATGAGACCTACTAGAGAGCAACTGGAAATGTTTTTATGAGACTTTATAATGGAACTTCAGTAGCAGTTCCATGTTGATTTTTATTGGAACACCCAATATTTTTTTCTTCTTCTTTTGTAAGCCTAATTTTTTACCACCTGAAGCTTCACGTGTGGTCTCTTGGCAAAGGAGAATATTTTTGTAATGGTTGATATGATATGACTTTGTTTTAAGTAAGGAGATATTTCAGAGAACACTTCAAAAATTTCTTCAAAGCTTTCCTTGTTCATTTAGAAGTTGAAAACAGCTTACACTAAAAAAAAAAAAAATCCAGTTTGATTTTATATTTGTTCTTAAAGAGATAGAGCTCAAAAGCATGTTTTTTGGTAATTTCAGTGGTACCAAAATTTTGGGGTTTATTAAAGGTAATTTTGAAGAATATAATAAAAATAACATAAAAGATGAGAAGCTATATGGATGGAATATTAAAATATTACATATAGGTGCATCAATCAGCACAAGGCTATAAACCAGAAAAGATAACAAATTAAAATGTATGTGAGAAGCTTTGAAATAATTAATGTGTTCATGTGTATTAGAATTATTCAGCCTTTTTTTGTACTGATGATAATAATTTTTTATTAACAACTTGTTCCAAGCAAATTTAACCCAAACTACTGTTCATGTCTAATAACTGATTTCTAGTAGTAGCTGAGAACTGCCACATTCCCTCAACTGACTTGGTACACAAATAGCAGTTCTTGTAGGGAAAACATAAGGAAAAGGTCATTTCAGTGAAAGCATCAAAGTGAACTTTAAACAGACCTATCAAAGTGGACAAAAAAACTGAAGTGCCCCATGTATGACAAACAGTTCTGTAATGATACTTTGAGTTACCCCTCGTATCTCTGAAGAGAGCTCTGGGGCAGAGAAACTTCTTCCCTAAGCAAGTCCAGAAAGGAGCATGTAGCTTTTTCATTAGCCAAATATTAAAATGCCTTCAGCAAAATTTTAGCAAACAACTCACAAGGTTTTGTTGGTGGACTCACTTTATCTTGTGATACGTGGCCTGATCACAGAGGTCCCCGCATCTGAACCTCTGTTTAGGACTGCTTGTTCCAGGCTTTCCTCCATGGCCATGGCTGCCAAAGTGCCTCCCTTTCCAGCACACTGGGGTGCTGAGTCTTCCCCCTCCTTCTCACTAATAGATACTCGAGTTGATGCCTGCAGAGATTTCACCTCAGTTTTCATTAAGCCTGTTTCTGGGAAGTTCTGTTGGTCTTGCCTTTTGTTTTTCTTAAGAAAAAAATTGCAGGAGAGAAAGTGATTCCTTTAATCCCTGGAAAAGGAATCTTTTTCCTAGCAAACAAGTGACACATCTGTCTGTGTGCTCCCTTCTACTTTATTCCTCTTCTCTCCTTTTCCTCTCCTTATGCTGATAAATCCATGCCTTCTTGTTTGCTTTACTATCTTCAGCACAGAACTTTTTTTCTTTATTTATTTATTCCCTACTTATACTTTTATTGCCTTTGGTTATATTTTAAGAGGAATTTATTTCCAGAAAAGAGGAGAAATATGGAGCCCCTTTTCCAATTATGTCATTATGCCTATCATATATACAGTACAGTTTATATCCTGGTATCCTGTTTTTCTTCAATTACAGCAGAAAATGAATCCACCTAATTCTTTACCACATGAAAATATACTATGCTCAGTAGGGAAGAGACTGCTTGCTTGTTCTCTGTAAACGTTTGTTGAGGTTTGATGAAGAGCAAGTGCAGAGGACTCCACCAGCAGGGTTTCCCCAGCCAGCTGCTTGATCACCATCATGCTCTTCTACTCTGTCCCTGTAATGTGCTCAAGTGACCTGGGGCTGTAACTGCTCAAAGCTGGCTCCTCATAAACTCTGCCAGGTCAAAAACTCATTTCAGTCACAAAGCAACTATTGTAGGGTGAGATGTTATACCCAGGGTAACAATAACTTCTATTTCTATACTTTTGTTCTGTACTTCTGTTTCAATGAACGACCCTCACCACCTTATTCTTATAAGAGCAATGTCGGGCAGGCAGACTATAATGTAGGTATGTTGGTTTCTGATAAAAGGGTTAACTTGCAGTCCTGATCTCAGTCAAATAAATTCAAAGTTTCACAGAAGTTGCACAACAGCTTATTTTCCTTCTTTGGCTTCTTCTGCAGCTTCACATTTCTCATAGTAATGAGTACCTGTAGCAGAAGATCCAATGAAAAACACAAAAATGTTTTTTGTAGTCTTTCTCATGTAATTAGAGATGAAAATGATGAGCAATCTCATCAGAGTATATTTTCATGTTTTTCATAAAATTCTCAGCAATATTCAATGTTTTTAGTGACCACTTGATTTAGACTTCTGGAGATTCATCTTTATTTGCTAGTCACTGTTTCTGGGATTTGATCTGTATACCTTTCCACAGACTTTTTATACTGTGCTGCTTGAGATGAGACAGTGCCATGCAATACATTCCATCCAGTGTCTCCTTTAACAGGGTTCTGGATGTCAGGTCTTGGACAAAGATTTGGAAGGCAGCACTGCGTTTACAGGTAGATATGAGCTTAAGCAGAAATTGCTCAGTGATTTTCTATGTAGGTTTCAGGGTGTGATGCTATGTAGTAACTGGAGATAAAATGTCCTTGTGGATTGTCTTTCTGTACTGAAGTAATTCCTTCTATGCTGCTTGGATGGCTCCTTCAGAAACATGACATGGCTGTCTCAAGTAGTATACCTGTTGAGAAACAGTCCTTCAATCATTGGGTTATCCACAGCAGAATTCCTCTCAAAACAAGTGGGGTAGTGTTAGTGGTATTTGAGGGCTTGGCTGCATCACCAGCTTTCTCAGACATTTGATGTGTATATTGAGTTTCTAAGCTTGTCTCAAGGTTTTATATGTTATTATTATTGTTGTTGTTGTTATTGTTATTATTATATTTACTGTGTGGGTGGTGAAACACTGGAATAGGTTGACAAGAGAAGCTGTGGATGCCCCATCCCTGGAAGCATTCAAGGCCAGGTTGGATGAAACTCTGAGCAAACCAGTCTAGTGGAAGATATCCCTGTCCATGGCAGGGAATCTGGAACTAGATGATTCTTAAAGTCCCTTCCAACCCAAATCATTCTAGGATTCTATCCTTCAATAGCTACATCCCTTCAAGAAAAGAAGAGGTTCTGATAATAATACCATTGTATGTATTTAATGTAGGATTCACCTGACCAACTTTAGCTATCAAAGTGTTTGATTTCCACCATTCCAAAACAGAATGCACAAAATAAGTGGGATCATCTCTTTGCTTGTGTGTGCCTCACTGATTGACTCCAGAGGAAATCCAGAAAAGCAGCTGAAACCACCCTTTGGAAGTGGAGAGCGGATGCTGTCATGTCCTTCAGGACATGGACGTGGTAAATTCTCCATTTATTGTGATTTAACAATTTATTCTTCATATACCAAGCCATTTTTTTATTGTGTATATGATCCCAGCTCACCCAAGCTAAGTGCTCATTTTAATAATTCTATAAAGACAAGCCTTAAGTTGTGGCAACTTAATTGCTTATTCATGTCTAATCAGACCTTATTTTCTCAAAGTGCATGGTCATATTCACCCACTCTGTTCCAGAAAGCAAACTAAATACTGGCTAACACTTTACACATAAACCGAGACACACAAAATTAGAAAAATGAGAGAAGTAAAAGGTCTACAGTTGTTTTTATTTCAAGCAAACCTTCCAAGAAACAATGCAAATGTATAACAGTAATAACATCTAGATGTCCTCTTAGTGCAAAGTTGGGAGAAAGGCACTAAAGCTATCAAAAATATTTATAAACATTAGGAGTCATATTACATTTTTATTTGCTTTCAAACAGGAGCTGTGTGGCTCAGGGAAGGGAACACACTGACCTTTCACTTCTGTTCACTCCAGCTTCAGTGCTGCTGCAGGCCCTAAGTGAAAATGAGTCTATTGGTCTCATCCAAACCTCAGCCCATGTTAGCCCACATTACAAAACACCAGAGAATTTGGCATGATCAGCAGTTTCTGCTCAAGAGAGGCCCAGGACTGCAATAGCAGAGGTGTTAGAGATCAGAATTTGGGAACGCTGGTTGAGTTACGTGGGAAAGCAAAATACTCGGTCTCCTGCTTTCATTGGGACTGTATTCACTTGCACAAAATAAACACAGTATGAACAATACAAAAAAATATTTATATCACAGCAAATGATACTTATAAATAACGCAAACAGCTCATTACCACCATTCACCCAAAGGTCACAGAGTGCTTTTAAAGCAGAAATTTAGCTGCACTGGTGAAGCAGTGTAACATCATTCTTATTTTACAGATGGAAAAACTGAGGCACACAGACACCTTCCTATCCAAGACCGCACAGGAAATCTGTGGCAAGACCAGCATAGGCTCCTGATCACAGGAGTCTGCATGTGTCGGGGTTTGGGGAGGACAGCTGAGCTCCCTTGCACTCAGATGCCTGTGGCAAGAGCTGAAGTGCACACCAGCAAAAGGTCAGTGTATCCATTCTCCAAGCCACAAAGTTCCAGTCTGAAAAGAAATATAAATGCAATGAGATTTTTCTGAGGTTTTTCTTTTTCAAATATTAATTGTTTCTTGGCACCAGGAGTCATTTTTACATCAAAAATAGTTATGTATTACATACTGTTTGTTATTTACATAAGTTTGCACTGTCTGTAATTTGGAAAGTTTAATGAGAATAGAAAGAAAACCTGTAGATCACTAGATATCAGCCTGATGCTGTCCTCTTAGCACCATGTGATGGTAAACAGTTCTAGCTGAAATGAGTGAATGTGCTCTTACGTCTCTATTTCCAGGTTACTGGGTTTTTTTCCTGAACTGATATCCACATTATTTCCTCCTTACATCCTCTGAGCTGTAAATTTAATTAAACATTTTGGCTATAAATGTAGCTGCTTGGAGTAAAATCAACCACCCAGAAGAAACCAACCTAGGAGAAGCAATGCTTGGGTACTATGACAGAAGTGATTCTTATTGGAATGAAGCCAGAGGAAAATCACTTGCTCTATAGCTGGGGATCTCCCTGATCCTTTTGCAAACCTCACAATATCATCACCACATCACCACATGTGCACAGACCGTCACTCCTACAAACTATTCTCACTCTTCACTCCCAGGTGCTTGATCAAATGCTTTGGACTGCTTTGGGTGACTTCAGTCCTATCCTCCACACCTTTCAGTTTTGAAGGCTCTCCCCTAATTTGCTGTTTGGTCTCTGCAGATTCCTCATTTAAAAACAATTACTTGGATGCTTGTCACCCAGTTCCCCTGCATAACAATGAGCCCCATTAAATGGGATTACTGGCTAAGGACACTGCCATGCTCACTAAGCACCAGCCTAGTGTTGGAAGCAGCATGGAGCTGCAGAACTTCTTAGGGTTTACACATACCTGGACAGTCCTTGGCAAGAGGACCATCCACTGCAGGGAAGAAAGATGAGCTTTTCTTTAAAAACTGCACCAGTCACCACATTTAAGTGGTGTCCCACATGTGAGCTTTCAGCCTGTGAGGAACAAAGCCAGGAAGCTAAAGGAAGGCAGAGGGGACTTGGTGCAGCACACCTTAGGATGCATGTGCTTCAAAGCACATCCAGCTGACTGCACCTCTGGCTTGCAGTGTGAAGCACCAGCAGGAAGTATTGTGGAGAGACCTCAAGGAAGAAAGCAAACAAGAGAAGAGTCCCGCTGTGATGGCTTCTTCAGGCTGAGACATCTTGCTAACTTTTAAAGCCAAATCACAGCGGTAGTGTTAATGCTGCTTAGGTTAAATATCTCACCTTCTTCAGACAACCCTAAGGGAGTGAAACTCAGTCTGAAATGAGAAAAGTTTCCCGAAGGTGAGTTCATAGATCACAAAATGTGGAGATGGAAAGAATCTATTCAATCATCTATCGCATCTCTCTGCCAGTTCAGAATTACTCCCCATGATGTTTTTAACATAACTGCTTTTCTCATTAAAAAAAAAAAAAACAAAACATAGGGGAAAAAAATGGGGGAGAAATACCTAAATATGGTCTATGAGCTTTTCTACTAAAAACTGTTTGATTCCTTGACTTAATTCTAGTGTCTCCTTTTGCTTTGTGCAGATGAGTTCAGCATGTGCCAGGATGAAGAGTGAACCAATATTTTCTGGAGGTACTCTTCCACCATCTGCAGCATCCAACAACTGGAAAAATCCTCCCAATAACTGGGTTTCATCTGCATTTTCTTAACTGTGTTCAATTTCTCCTCCCTTTGCATGAGCTGTTCTTTCAAGATAGTAGTCTGTGTGGTTATTGACTGGCTGACCTGGAAAGTGCTACTAAGTCTCCCCTATTTCAAATATTACATGCAGAATGAGACACACCTTTGCTAAAATAATGGAAATAAGCCACAAGTCTAAAAAGTGGTTTGGACAGTGCAGTTATGAAAGAAACCATCCTATTTCACTGTGGGGAAGAGAAGAACAAAGAGTATTTTTCACTTCTAACTGAGGATTCCATTAGTCTAACACTATATTTTTCCCAATTTAATTCATGTCCATGTGTTACAGAGTCTGGATCTCTTTGAAATTTCTGGTTTGACACTGCAGCCTGTTTCACCCCCAGCACAAGTTTCCTATTTCCCCCTCAGAGTCTACATGTCCTGGGGCCCTTGCAGGGCTCCTTGATGATAGATACATTTGGGACAACCCTATCCATCCAAGAAAAGTTCAGAAAACTGAAGACAACACATGTATTCCTCAGAATATCCTGCTAACACAGGCAAATGGTAACCTGTGGGGGCAGCAGGACTTCTCCCTGCTCCCTCTGACACTAATGCTGCAGTGGGAGTGGTGCCAGCAACTGTTTGGCTTGTATGGAGTCCACTCTGGTGCTCCTCAGCCCATCCCACAGACACTGTGGCCACTTTCAGACTACTGAGGTGTGAAACACTGATATCAGTGTAACATCACAGCCGACAAAGCTCATTTTATCAGTTTAGAGTAACAAAAGTGAAAAACTTCTCGTTCCACTCATCTCTCGCATTCATCACCGTGAAATGGAAGAACGTGTACAGAGTCGTGCAACAAGCTGTCACATCAGCTTCAAAAGCAATGGCCCACACAAGTAAATTTCCCTACTGTACAGTCTTGTTATTTAAGATTATTTAATCAAAGGTGGCAGAAAGCAAGAGGTGGTTGTTGTTTGTTAGTTCGTTTTTCCCCAAGAAAACAATTCAGCCATTTCCAGAACCGGCCTGAGTGTTGACAGCAGCGTCTACCCACAGATACAAGGTATAAATTGCTTAATTATGTGTGAAGATTATGGGAGTCATGTCAAGCCTGAGTCACCAGCAGCATTTGAAAAGGTAAAACAAAAATGATTAGCAGATTCCTTTGGAAAGTTGTTATTGTAATTTTCCTTCATGTGCATGTGGGTGTTGCTGTGTCTCCTGGCAGTACTGTGGCCACCATCACACGTGTTCAATGGCAGGGGCCAAACAAAACTCAGGGCTTGGACACTGCAATATTAGCAGCCTTCCAAGGGACAATGCAAGGGAGCAGAAAAAAAGCTGGAAAATATTATTTCCTAAAAAAACCCCCAACAATAATAACCCAAACAAGTTATATCCTTGGGTTAAAGACTATTATTGTAGCACTAAGGATCTTTCCCTCATCTGGTTTTATGCAGAAAGTTTTCAGCATTTCCAGAACTACCATTAAAATGAGGAATGTCCAGTGATACTCCATTTTCTCACGTGTAGTCTCATGCTGCTGGCAAGTGTGGAGCCCATTAGTGAGACTCTGAGCACAGAACGTACCTGTTGGATGTCACGGCACAGTGCAAGCGGCACAGTCCTGCTGGTAAGTTTAGTTAAGGCTCCTCTTCACTGGTGCAATTTTTGACGCCTCAGGAGAGGTAGGTGCTAGACTGCCACGTGTTACCACTAGAGAAGGCCGAGTTGCACTTGAGGCATCACCAAAGTAACCATGTGATTACAAAAAGAGAGAAACCTGTTTCTTGTCATAGCTGTAGATCTCCAGTGCTTTGGGGAGTGCAGCAAACATTGTATTGGAAAACAGCCTTCCCGTGGCGTTTGAGTTCCTGCGCTTTCAATCCCTGCAAATAGCGTGGAAGTGGGTGGAAATTTAATAGCGATAAAAAATAGCGATAGTTAACTTAATTGCTTTGACCTTCTGCAAAAGCTGAGGGGAAAACGCACAGAGAAGTTTCTTCCTTTTGTTTATTTATTTACTTTCCTTCCCTTCCCTCCTTTCCCCTCCTCTCCTCCTCCGCCGCCCCATCCCATGCCCCCGTGGCCGGCCCCGCCTCCCACCACTCGCGGAGCCCTCCGCAGCCCCCGCGGCAGCATCACTTTTTCCGCTTTTCATTCCTCCCACCTTCGCGTTCCTCCCTCCCCGCGCCCGCTCCGCGCCCAGTTTCTCACCTTCTCCGCAGCCTCCCGCCACCCACGACGGGGCCGCCGCGCCAGACCGGGCTCCCGCTCCCGCTCCCGGCTCCGTCCCCGCTCCCGGTGCGTTTCCGCTCCGTCCCCGCTCCCGCTCCGTTCCCGCTCCGCTCCCGCGCAGCCCCCGCCGCGCTCCGTCGGCGACTCGCCAGCGCCACCCGCTGGGCGGCCGCGGGAAGGGCGGCCCCGCGCGGGCAGCAGGCACGGAGATACTAAAGGTCGCAGGGATGCTCCTTCGGGAAGCGCTCCCTGTCCTGAGTATGTTCCCTCTGTCCTGAGTATGCTCCCTCTGTCCTGAGTATGCTCCCTCTGTCCTGAGTATGCTCTCTCTGTCCCCTGTGCAAACGCAGCAGACAAAGGGTCTGGAGTTAAAAAACTTTCACATTACGCCTGTCCAAATGGGAGGTATTGATGGACTGGCAAAAAACCAAACTTTGACAACTCTTTCTTTCCTTTGCCTGTTTGATGGCACTGCCTTAACAGTGCTCGTTGCACACTGACCTTCTCTAATGACCACAAACACGGCTAAAGAAGAAACCAGAACATTCCATGGTGTGATACAGTTATAAAATCAGTTTTCCTAGGGAAGTTTTAGATGCTTTGCGTGACATTTTCTTAGGATGTGTAAGTTTGCACATAACACAAATTTCGCAACCTCTGCACTGTCTGGAGAGGTTCAAAATGACAGTCACACCTAAGCCATGCGATATTCAGCTTAAAATTGTTTAGAAAACTCAATTTCTAGCTGTGGGGGCCTGTCAGATATTGCATATTTTGTCTGGCACTGAGTATTTGAAGTTGATGGTAAGGGAAGTACACTTTAATATCTGACAAACAAGGAGCTCTGCTTCTTTGAATCTGGTCAGGAATTTGGAAGGCTAATGCAATCTCAGAGCAGGGATTAATGAGCTCAGGTGTGCTGCTCAAAGGTGAGCGACAGATGAAATGTGCTACAGAGATATGGAAAGGTTACCCAAGTGGTAGCACAGGTCAGAGCAAAGCCAACACCTTCTGGAAATAATTGTTCCAGTCTTCTTTTATGATTTAAATCTCAAAATGTTCCAAAAAAAAAAAAAAAACCAAAAAAAAAAAAAAAAAAAAAAAAAAAACAAACCCAAACACAAACAAACAGACAAAAAAAAGCAGGGCAGTTAGCATGAGATTTATTTAAGGAAAAATATCCATATGAAAAATCATTATAATTTTTTCCAATTAATTTTTTTCAGTTTTCAACTTCATCCTAGATTTTGGAAACAAAATTCAAGTAGTTCTATATAAGCTATGAGAATGGTGTATATGTCCATTTTTGTTTCGTTACTATGCAAGTTTTCTATTTTCCTGGACTACTTTGCCTCATTTGTTAACCTGAGCCTCATGTGCAAAGTACAACAGGAGGATACTTTTATCAGCTGGAATTGTTGATACATTAATGCTCAGGGTTTCCTTGCTGGTTCCGTTTCTTATTCACTAGTTCCCTGCTGTAACAAGGATACCTTGAGTTTGAAACTTTGCCTGCTGCTGGGAAACATCCTGATCCTTTAGATGCTACTGTAGGAAGATCCAGCTGAAACAATAGTGTGTGCTCAAGCAAGGACTGCTCATGTGAGCAAGGATTTGAGTCATCCAAGCCCAAAAGAACTGGTAAGGAGGAGGAAGCTGTTTCATCAAAAGCCTGGTAGCAGGAGATGTAAATACATAACCCAGGCAAAGAGGCTGATTTTGTGGATCATATGCACAGCAGTTGTGCTAAACTGGGTGGTGTCATTTGGAAAGCATGACAGAAAAGGTGCATACAGAGAGCTCTGAATCAAAGATGCTTCAGTGTAGGATGTTGGGGTGGGTATATGGAATCACAGAAGTGCAAGCAGTGTTCGTTCTCCTTCTGAACCCAAAGTAGAATATCCTGGCATTAAAATCTGAGCGATTTAGGTGTGGCAGCACTGTGTGTGACACTTGAGCTGGTGACAGCAGGTCCTTTTGCACGTGTCTAGGGCAGGGAAGCAGAATGTAGGCTCTTCTCTCTGATGCTCTAAATTTCACCAGCTGCATAGCAAACACAAGGCACTGCAGAGAGCACCTTGCACCCTGGCCCAAGGGCTGCTCACCCTGGTGGGGGACTACCAGCCTGCCGAGGCCAGGAGAGCTGTGAATCCCCACCCCAGGGGCATGTCGGATGCTCGTCTCTTCCAGCACACTTCATCTCAGTTAAGGCATGATGAAACGGGACCTTGAGCAGCAAACATGCCAAGGGGTAACTTGAGATAAATGTGCAGCTGCACGTATCTCCTGAAAGGGGTTGCGCATTTTGCAATTAGAGTGAGCTAATTGTATATGCACAGGCAGTTGCCACAGCTCAGCTGATGGCTGGTATCTTACTAAACAACAGTAATGTGAGCACTTTGAGTCATGAAACCATACCCAAAGTGTTTGCAGACTCAGGGCCTCAGAATCCATTGCCCTCTCATTCCGTTGCACCGTCATCTTGAGGACAGGGAGAGGAATTGAAAACCTGTGCTGTATATTCTGATGCAAGATGAATTTCCCAAGGGATTCTTGAATTTCTAGCCAGAATTTCAAAGAATTTAACAATGTTTTCTTTTTAAATGACCATGAATCAAAATATTCATTTTAAGTGGGAATGTTTGGGAAAGAAACAGTTCTGGAAATTTTCAGCATAAACACTAGTTCTTGTAAAAAGACATGAAGAGTGATATTCAGAAGGCCTAAATTCCCCCCAAGTCTCTGGGCCTTGTGTTTCTTCAGCTAGGAATCTCTGCAAGCCCTGAGCCATCCACAAAGGAACCTGTCCAATTTGGTGGAACTGTGGCTGGACTTGCTGGTTTCTAGGAAGCTTGAGGAGAAAATGATCTGCCAAATACTTTCACTCCTCTGCAATTCCCTCATTAGTTTTCTGTACACATGCATGTGACCTGACAAACAGAGTTCAAATCAGCCAGGGGTTGGTTTGTTTGTTTATTTTCAGAATCTTCCTGATGCCAACCCTGTTAGCAGCACTGATGAAGTGAGCTTTGACCTGGACAGCATAGCTCAGATTCTTGCACTGATTATGTCAATGGGATCTTCCTAGTGATCTTCAGACCAGGATTTCAACACACTGAGCTGCCTACAAGTGAGGGGTATAGAGATTCTTTGGGAAGCTTTTTTTTTAATGTCCTTTTAATTGAATTGGAGATAAAACCATTTGTGCTTGAGGCTAATGCATTGCTGAAGAAACTGGAACTCAGGCCCTGTAATAGGGTATTTTTGTTTGTGAGAGCAGATGGAGTGAACTTATAGAAACAACTGTAAAAAGCCTAAATAGTAGGAAATAACAAAAGAGCCCCTTGAAGCTGGGGCAGCAGAGGTCTGGGCTCCAGCGGGTGGCTGTCACACCAAAGTGTGTGGGGCTGGTGGTGTCACTTTTTGCTCTGCAAAGCAGGGCAATCTCAGGGCTGCAGCTGCAGCTGCCTCCTCACAGGTTTCCTCCCCTGGCCTCTCTGCTGCCCACGTCTCCCCTCCAAGAGGATACCATTAGAAAAATAGCCAAAAGTCTCATTTCATAGGACTTCTTCAGCTTTCTGTCCTTCCCTATGGTGGGTAGTGCTACAACAGTAGATGCACGCTCACTAGAAAGCAGTGTAGGAATGTGTATAACACCTTTGTGTGCATTCTCTCTGTTTATTTGCTGCCTGCTGTTATGCTCAGCGTTGCCCTGGAGATCACAACATTTCAGCAAACACCACCGTGTTGTGCTCCCAACAGAGCCCTTTTCCTTCCTCCCTTGAGGGACAGAGTCACACTTGAAAAAAGAAAGCAGGTATCTAGTGCTGGCTGGACCTTCATGGCACTTTTTTACTATTTCTAAATAACTCCTAAGCTAAGATATCCCATGCAAAATTCCAACCCAGGCAGCTATCTGCGTTCACACCAAGAACCAATGAGTAAGTTTTTTAAGGTAGACTTAATTGTAGTTGTGAGAATGACACCAGTGTAACATTTAAAGTGTGAACATAAAATATGGCAAATCAATCAGACTGTGTAACCACATTTGGAAAGTATTCAGCTGATGATGTTCCTGATCACATGTTAGCAAATTCTAAAAAATAATAATAAAAAATTTTAAAATCACATGTGGAAATTTACTTCTTTAAGCCAATGGAAAGAGATATTTTTCTATCTCATAGTCTACAAAATTCCCTCACCTACTGCCCAAATCACAGTTTAAAGTAGCTTAATTTCTCCCTTAAAAAAAAAATTTACAAGCCCTTATTCCTGCTCAGCAATCACACAGACATTAAATGTTATTACAGAAAGGGGGTGGGGGGGAATGTCTCTTCTCAGCATTACAGCTGCAGCTGTTTGACAGAAGTAAGTGACTTCATAAACCATCCTGATTTGGCAATAGAAGAGCAGAGTTTTATGCTGTCTGCTGCACAGTCACGGGGCTGAGAAAGCTCTGCAAAGCAATCTTCACAAATGTTTCACCTCAGTTTATAAATACCTTCGCTTCACTGTGTTAATGCCTCTTTTGCTTTGCTTTCCATTCACCGTCACTGGATCATCTACCAAGACCTTTTATTGCTTTAAAGTGATTGATCCCACTGGGCCCACATATTTTTCTTCTTCTTCTTTTTTTTTTTTTTTTTNTTTTTTTTTTTTTTTTTTTTCCTTTTCTCAACAGAAGATACTGCACTTACACCTCTCCATTGGCTAGTTGACTTATTATGGTAAAATTCAGTAAAGATCTAGCAGACTGTCTTTACTTGCAACATAATCAGGCTGTATACCTTCTTATGAAAGAGTCCATACTTAAGCACTCTGTTTTCTCTGTCTCTCTCAAGTGTTCACTCAATAAAGAATTACTTGAAAACACGTTTTCCTGAGCTGTGATGAAAACAGAGAGATTTCTGATGGTTGTCTTCTCAGCCTCCACATTTCTGTATTCATTTCAAGACCTTATTATTTAAGAATGAATTCTTGCTCCTCCAGAGCAACTTCTGGAGATATTCCCAGCTACTAATAACATGATTTTGGTATAAATTTGATATGAGAAGGCTATTCACTACTTTGCAGGAACACCATTTCCTCTGGGAAATCTTCACTGATGTAAAGTCAGCAGGAGCTCTCACTACAGTGAAA